TCCGGCAACGGATCGCAACCCTCAGTGTCGCCCCCGTACCGGACCGGGGACCGGCAACGGGATCGCAACCCTCGATGTTGCTCCCGCGCCTCGCTCAGCCAGTGAGCGGGAACCGGTCTGTATGTGGGATCCGAACCCTCGGTGGGAGCACCGCCGCGCTTCCCAAGCGGCGCACTATCCAGTGCACCACCGGGCCGGCCCTGCAGCTCAGGTTTTAATGTTGTCTTTATAGGTGCTTCTGGGACTCATAAGATCTGGCACACCTGGGTTGTGCAGAAACTTTGGTCTGGGCCTGAGTCTTTTCAGCAAACTGCACCCCATGCAATTCTACATTACTGTCCAGTCTCCTCTTAGTGATCCTGTACTGACTGGGGGCAGATCAGCTGTCCTTGCTGTGCCCCAGTGTTCCCCCAGTGGGCCTGTCTCCCCCACCGCCCGTGCTCCAAACACTTCCCATGGGACAGGCTGTGCACTGGTCCCTTGTGATGACTCACCAGCCTCTGAGTGGCTCCTTTTTTTCAGTTGTCTGTGGCTCCTCACTCCTATGTGGGTCCACAGAAACCCTATTAGTAGTCTTGCTGGCCTGGGGGCCACCAAGGCCCTCTTCTCCCTTGTAGCTTCCAAGCAACTTCATCTGAAGGGCACAGCTGCAGCTTTTGCCAGCCACTGCTCTGTGCACTCAGCAGCTCCAGTCTGGATGCAGCCAGGGCTCAAAATGGAGCAGTTCTTTCTTTCTCTCATTGTGGCGTCTCCTGTCTTCATGAACTCCGTAGGTCTCTCGTCCTCTTCACCTGAGCTCTAGTGGCCCCAGCATGGCTTTTGTTGCTTTTTAATAGTTGTAAATTGGTTGTTTTGTGGGAGAGAGTGACACTGGGGCCAGTCTATTCTGCCATCTTGACCGGAAGCCAAAAACTGATTTATATTATCAATAAAGGAAAAGGTGTAAAGCATAATTTAGGTAAAGCATAATTTCAAAATGACTAAGGGCTGACATTATTTCTTATACCCTTGTTTATTATCATAGTTTTGTGAAAGTTGGGTGGGCAAGAAAATTAAAGAAAAAAATGGAATATTTTCCAAGAATAAAAGACCACTAAAAACAAAGATAACAATGACTATCATATAGTAAAATTCTATAAAAAGGCAACTGACTGTACCATGGATTGCATTATACTATAAGTCAAGTCTTATTTGTTTTCACCTTGTAAGAGTTTGAGCCTTCATGTTAGAGCGGGGGTTTGAGTCTACTTGAGCAGATTATCCCTGCCATGTCTCAATTTTTTCATTATATCTCCCTCATTGTGTCTGGAAGAAAAAAAATTGAAAATGAATCTATATATGTTGATGAAAAATGAAAACATTTGTAATTCTCATGATGGGAAGAGTTTTTTAAAGTAATTTTGTACTTATTTCAATGTATTATACACATAGGATAAGTGTTATTCCTATTTCACAGATGAGATCACTGAGACCCACAGAGGATAAATAACAGTCCAGCCACAAGGCTCATTAGATACTGAGCTGACTTGCGAACACAGGTCTTCCTTTTTCAAGAGCATATGATCTTATTCCTTGCTTTCTCATCCAGGCTTAAATATCAGAATCGCTTGAGGTTAGACACATACATTTGCCTAGGCCCCACTCCAGTCCTACTGAATTTGAATCTCTCTGGTGGTTGGGACTCATATTTTGAGAAAAGACCACAATTGATTCTAATATACATTGATGGTTGAGAAATTATCCAGAACATCCTATTTTCTTAAGTGGGTGCGACTTTATCATGATTATTTATGTGTAATTCAGAGCTGTTATTTTTTCATAAATACATTAAATCAAACTTAGTTCACATTTAAATATTTATTAAACAAACCATCTTTAGATTTACCTGGTATTTGTGCATTGGAAATCAACTACTATTCGTATGTGACATAATTAACTTCCTTATTACTGAATTATTCCACCTGGCCCATGTTTTATTTACAAGTTGTTCAGGTTGAATTATCTTTATATAGATGCCAACATGATTTTTACATAAGTATAAGGTAACATAACAGATGCATGTTTAGGTTCTTCATTTAGTGGAAACTGCAATAGATCATCTATAATCACAACTCTTGTAGAGATCATAAAAACATAACTACTCTTCTCAGTCAGTATTAAGAATAACAAAACATGGCCGTTCTTAAAGTAAGCTGAGAATGTGGCCTATACAAGTGATAAGACATTTAGTACAAATTTAAAGGGGTTCATAGGTAACCGTTCATTGTTTGCTCTGGGAGAAGTGGTGGGCCTAGGAACATAGTCCCTGTGTACAGCATATTGTTCTTGTACATGATTTCTTCTAGGTTGTTTTGCTTCATTGGTTCTCAACATTAGGAACACCTGGAAACTTAAAAGAACTGATCCCTTAGCCCCACCCCAGGCCAATTGAATCAGAATCTCTAGGGGTGGGTCTACACAGTTTGAATGATAAAGATTTGGCACCACTCCCACTTAAAGTAGCAAAACAAAATTTTAGGATTCTTCTCTGAAATAAATATAAATAAGGTCAGGAGTGTTGCAAGGGAGCAGTGTTCTGGGTAGAAGCCATGGGATTAAAATGTGAATGATTCAGCTAACTGAATTCATGTAATAACTAACTAAATGTTTAATTAGATGATTAAGTGGAGAGTGATTTAAGATAAAAATCCTCCATAGCTCTCTATTCTTTGTGTTCTTTTCAAGTTCTTTTCTGTGCTTTAAAAAATACACAGAGATAGGGCCGGCCCCGTGGCGCACTGCTGCAGTGCGCCGCTTGGGAAGTGCGGCGGCGCTCCCGCCAAGGGTTCGGATCCCACATGCAGACCGGTTCCCGCTCACTGGCTGAGCGAGGTGCGGGCGCGGCGCTGAGGGTTGCGATCCGTTGCCGGACACCAGAAAAAGGAAAAAAAAATACACAGAGATAAAGGTGTCTAGTTAATTTTTCACAAATGCAGATAAGCTCCATCTTCTGAATCCACCTGTGACTAGCAATGCATATTCACAGAAGAGTCGACCAAGGATAAGGATGCAAGTTTATGACTGGAAAAGACCAGTTCTTCCCTATATACCTTAAGTAGCTCATGTGAGGTGGACACAGCCTTGATTAAGGCTCATTTGTGCTAGCTTTAAACAATTGACCCAGAATCAACAAATGTGAGTAAAAAGAGTAAATTAGTCAATCCTATGTTTCCATTTCAGAAAGTACAAAACTTTTGGCGAGAAAAAACCAACCTCATAATGTGTACAGCCACTGCCAAATGTGCACAATGGTTTCAGATTTGTTTGCTTATAGAAGTTCTAAAAAGGGAGTAGAACTGCTTAATACTGGTCTGTGCTTTTGACACCTATGGTTGGCAAGCTTTGTCTAGAAGTTGGTCAGTCTGAGGAACTTCTCTCCCACAGACTGAGATAAAGTCTCAGTACCCCAGAAGTCCATCGACTTTGACCGGTAGACCACAGGGTAATTCATAGTTTTCAGGCAGAATAGTAAGTTTACCTCTTTATAAGTTTTTGCCAGCTGAGCTTTATGAAAATCCAACATAAATCCACAAATATTGTCAGACTATTGCGTACGAGAGAGATTCAAAATAACTTCCTGGAGTCATTAAGACCTTTAAGAATGAAGGAAGAGAGGTTTTCTTACATTGTTTTCCACGAATAACAAATTTAAATATCTTTAATTGTATGTTGATGACTTGGAAAAAAAAATTTTTCTTGCCTTAGGACTTTTTCCTGATGACTTCGTAAGCCAAACATGGCAAATGACAGAAATTTTTAAACTATAGTTCATAAGTTTCTGTCATTTGCTGTCTTTGGTACTGTTGCATACCAAATATTACTGATTCTAGGGCTAAAATAATGAGTAGTTCTCTGAAATAAAGGGATATAGTACAGAGTAATATATATATATATATATGAAATACATATATACATACGTATAGTCTTGTACTTACAGGTAAATGTGTTCAACGATTTCAAAGTTACAAGGAACAAATACATTTAAATTCCATGTAGGCAATTAAATATTCCAAATAGAACATTCGTTTCCATTTGAAATGTGCTAAGTTGAACATGTCAATATACCCAGGTATTCAGTGAATTGGCAGAATTTTATGAAAAGTACTGGTTGGGGTTTCAAAACTATGTAAAATATGTAAAATAAAAACATCGGTTCAAGAGGAGCCATTTTTATTGAAACACTGTTTTAACTTTGAACTGTATAAATTAGCTCTTTACTACATAGATTTTCAGAAATTCATAAATGTAAGAGCTGACATTTATATAAAAATTATGTGCTGCTTATCAAAAGGTTTAGTGAATATTTAACCCTAAAAATTGTAATTAAATAGAACTTTCAGCCAAGTGTGTAGCCCCAGTGCAAAGTGTTTTTTTTTTTTTTTTTTCCCGTGATTTAGCATGGCCTGAAATTGGGATTTCATTTTGCAGCTATGATCATTAGAATAGCTGTTTCTTACAGGGTTGTGTCAACCCTGACGGAAGTAGCAGATTGAAAGGAGCAGCAGAGACATCCTCTGAATAGAATCTCTTAGTTTTTAAACCAGTAACTTCTCATTACGTGTAATAAGTGTGGACCATCTTGAAATTGCCACTGATTATTTATTTAACCAGAGGCATCACTGCCAAACAAAGCCAACTGAAAATTACCTGCTTCTTTGTCTTCCACCAGATAAGCACAGCGAAACAACTAGAATATTTCTTCTCATTTCAGACAACTAGAAAATAACATTCCTTAGACCTCTATTAGGAAGGAACTGTTTCAAAAACAATCCTCATTTCTATAAAGGGCTATAGAATAACAAACAATGGCTTTCCGGCATTTATGATGGGTCAGTCAGTGATAAACCAGGAAGAATGGGGTGTGGAGCCTGCATCCCGGGGTTATGTCTTGCAGATTTCATCCTTTACAGGTGGGTGTCGGTGAATGTGGTGTGTTCCTTGGTCACTGAGCTGAAACCTTTGATGGCATTCATCAGGTCCTCTTCATCCATGTACTGAAAAGTAAGCCAACATTCATTATGGGTTACAATATTTGCTGTCAATAGCATTTGCTATCGATTGAGAGTTCTATCAATTTAACATAAGTACTCAGCAAGTATTTATTAAAGGCTTAATATCCTGTGCTCAACACTGTAAAGTGTGGTTTAAAACACAGTCCTTGCCTTAAGTTTACCTTATTGAAAGGATCACATTACATGCACACATGAACTATAGACTAATCTGAAATGTAATTTGGATGTTACGTTGTACCATACCTTAGCCTCAGTTTTCCCATCTGTAAAGTGGGGAGATTAAATACACATATATATGATTCAGTTCAAAGAGGAAGAGCTGGAATGCAAGCTATTATGCACTATTGCTTCCCACTCTCCTACTGTATTTCGTATTGATCTAATAGGGTTGGTGACACTGAAAGTAATGTTACCATGAACACATAATTTGCCAAGTATTGGCATGGTCAAAAGCAAAAAATAAGCAAAATGGTAATATAGTAAAACAGTTACAAATGGGAGCTCTGTAGTCAGATGACGCTCTTAAGATCCCAACTCCACAGAAAGATTACTAGTGTCCTTGGGTAAATCTAAGCCACAGTTCCTTCTATAAAAATAAGGATAATTGTAGCTCTTTGTGAAAAGTAAGTGAAATAATTCATGTAAGTCCTTAATGTATTATGTTGAACACATTGAAATTGCCATTTTGCATGTCAAAAATGATTAATCAATGATTAATTAGCAATTCCTATGTTTCAACCTAATATAATTATTCCTGCCCTTTAGAAACTTTAGATGTGAAATGGAATTATGGAACTGAAAGTTATAACATCAAGCAGGACTGTGATTTAAAAATGCATACTATCTATATGTCATCATTCTGAACAAGAAAGGACTGTACGCTTTATTTTTTGATTGTGGTAGGGAACCCGGAGCCAAGAACTCCCTTTATTGTTTGCCATTAGTCAAGAAAGGCTTCGTGGAAGTCCTCAACTTTTCAGTGAAGGAAAAGTGGGAGCTTGGGAGAGAAAGATGAGTGAAAGTTCAAAGGTGCCAGAGGGTTGAAAGAAGTGGAGGGGAGTGATTCTGCCTCAGAGGAGTAAGTGGAGGAGCTATGTTCTTGGCTGGCTGTTTATTATCTGGCCCGTTGGAGTGATCTCCAGCAGACGCCTAGGTAGGCACAGAGAGGAAGTTTGACAGCTGGTAAAAATTCTAGGATTTTAGTCATCTCAGCCACTAGGGGGCTCAGGGCATATATTAGATGATTAGGTTACCTTTCCTCATCGGTATCTGTACCCACTGGACTGAAATTAGGAGAGACAAAGCTCATAAATAGTAAAACCGTTATTTATCATGATTTTTTTTTTAGTTTTTCGTAAAGGAACCATTTTAACCTGTTGAGAAAAAAGACTCTTTTCTCCTCGAACAATAAACCAGTAGGAAAAAGGTGTAACTTACTTAGGACAACAGGTGCTAGTACTTTATGCCTATTGCAGGCCAGTTGCAATGCTTCCAGTCACTTTCTGTCCCAAGTTAATGAAGGACAGCCTGTTTGTCTCTCAGCTTATTCACATATTTATTTTTTGAGCATGTGATGTGTGCCAGAAGACAAAGTTTCCATCCCACTTATCAAACCATTGTGGTGATACTGGTAAACAATCTGGTGACAGCACGACTGGGTGAGTGCTCCGATTCCCTGAGTGCTGCAAGGGACCATTCACTGAAGTACAGGAAGCTCATGCTCTCTCTTTGCCAGTATTCTTTTGGGATGTTCGGCAAAGGTTCTGGGTGAGGAAACCAACTCACCAGTCCGCTGTCGTGGCCCAGGATGGTTTCCCACAGTGAATCGTCAGTCAGGACCTTCTTCTCTTGAATGTCGACGAGCTGGCTGACACTACGGCCCAGGGAGCCCTGGGAGTAGGTGTGGCTAAGCCGGCTCTGACTTGGGATCCGCAGTACTGATGTGCTGCAGCCGCTGCGAATACTCACAGGTGTCCCAGACCGGGGAATTTTGGTATCAGCTAATCCCTGAAAAGAAAGTTGCTATTGGTGATTAACATGAAAAGCAGTGGCCTTGAAATATGACAGAAGACTGTATCACACCTTGTTAAGGGAATGACTCCCTTCAGACCCTCCTATAGAAATGAGCGACTGAGCACCTGGAACACTGCGGCCCTGGTTTCTCGGTAAGGGTGAGATAATAAGCTGACAGTCACATGTGATGGCTGGTGTTCTTAGCACCCACAGAGCTCATGCACTGGTGCTCTGACTCTTGGCCCCTGTGGGGCGAGGGCGTGCTGCTTTGCAGAGCAGAGGGGTGAGGGGCCGGAGGGAGGGCTAACGAGGTCACCTCTCCTTGCATGTCAGCACACAGCCTCCCTCTTGAGAGCACCCCTTTCCCAGAGCGGCATGGTTAACAGTGGTCTCTCATGGCTGCCCACCAAGTGAGCAGTTTGTATTTCACCTTAAAAGTCCTGGATTTGTGTAGGGAAATTTTCTCCTCCCTTCCTCTTTTCTCATTCCATGTTATTCCCCTTGTTACAAGATTCCAGTCTCCAAGTTAAATCAGGTCTGATATTAATATTAACATCAGAAAGACCAAGTTACTCTATGATTAGGACCCAGAATATGCCGTAAGATAAAAATCTAGCTGCTCGTCTGAGGGTTCTAATGTAGTGTCCTAGCAACGTCCTATCAACACGCCATGCAAAAGATCATGCATTCATGCAGAACACAGAGGTACCTCCAAGTGCATGGTGTAACTTTTTAGGGTGACGTTGCTTGACACATCAGATATATCAGCCACAGAGTCAAACTGAGGACAAATGGGGACATCAGTCTGTGTTTGGAACATTTTCAAATAAATTCTGTGCATTTCTCCAACTACAGCATAATCATTCCCATACTTAAGACTACCCTGATACATACATTAGGAGTTTGCAATTAAAACCATACGGTGAGCAGAAACTAATTGCTTAGTGACTAAGGTGAGTTCCTCTGGCATTATTTGTTTAGTATTGTAGAGAATGAAAGGATCCTTAAACCAATAATTAAATCACAAGTAAAATCTGCATGCACTTGAACGTAGCTGTACTGTATATGGTGACCTTGAAAAACGTGAATGAATTATGAAAGGCTGTCTCATTTCCTGGCACCTCTACTCCTTTTGTTCAGAGTGGAGCCTAAAATCTTTTTGCCATTTTGTGTTTGATGTTCAAAGGGTTCTTTACTTATTCAGAGGGCAAAGGTGCTCGGGAGAGGGTGACGGCGGCTCCGAGAACCAGGGCTTGTTGGGCGAGGAGAGGGTGTGCGTGTGTCGCAGGGCTACATCTCACCCACCTACCCAGGGGGAAGAAAGCCCGGGAAACCGAGCAGGTGAATCGGCTTGTTCCTGTTCAGACCCTGCCCTCGATTCTGAGTAGATGAAGGACCCCGTGGTCACCAACAGCTCTTCACTTGGCTCTCCTAATGCAAACTGCACTGCCTCTGGTTCGGCTGGTCACACCTTTTCTCTCATGGTCTCCAACTTCATGAGAGCAGTTTGGTTTAAAAATATTTTTAGAAAGCAACCAAAGAAGACTTGAAAGTACATTTTGTCAACTGGATAGGATTAAATTGTGATTCACTGGGTTCCAGGGAATACTACCCGGCACCCTGGCGCGCCCCAGCTGTCCCTCCTGCTAACCCTGCGGGGCCTGCGATGAGCAGCCGCCCGTCGCACTGTGCCTTCCCCTCCTCACACCTCACTCAGCCCTGGCACCCAGCGAAAGCTCCTCGGTTGGGTGCCCCTCTGCTTTTCTCTGATGGTAAAGGGTGTGCAGGAACAGGGGGCTCTAATTCTTTTGTCTGCTTGTCTCACAGGCTGAATGATGCCTCTGTCTGTCCCCTGAGACAGCTTAGCCTGGTTGGGTCAGGATGGCAAGGTCCTGATGTGCACCCCCATGGGTCTGTACTGGTTGTGGAACTGTACACACTGGCTATGGGAATTGTGTTATATTTTTAATTCATGGATGGCTGCTCTCAAATTCTCCTGTGCCGCAGACTTTCCAAGTGCTGGCTGAAGTGACAGATTCTTGGGTTTCTTCCTCACACTTCTGCTCCTGCTCCTGTGGGATGCTGAGACACACGGGTCACGGCCCTTGTTGTGACAAGATAGAGCTTAACAAGACTCACCACAGCCCTGAACAATGGAATCTATCCAGAACAACATAACATCCCATGGGACTGATGTGATTGTTTCTCGGTCACTGAGTTATCCAAGTAAGGACGACAGCATTCCTCTCCTACGACTGCCACGCAGAGGCGCCTGCAGTAGGGAAGGGCTCTGAACACTGCTGGTGGGGGGGGTCAGTTTCCCTGTAACTACGTGCATGTCACCACAGGGGCGTGCCTGGCAGCCTGGGTACCCCTCCTGCTCTCCACGCGCGTCCTGTCGCCCCTGCCCCTGTCGCCCCTCCAGTGCACCCTTCCTCTACCAGCCTGGCCTCTAGGAGAAAGTTACCCTTCAACAAGAGAAAACCCCAAGTCACCCGCTCTTCAGTGAGAATCTGCTAAGGACTGTGCCCTGAACAGGAAGGAGCAAATGGGCCGTGGTTTGAACTAGCCACTCAGCATTCATGCATTCAACAGATACTTGTGCAGCACCTATTTGTGCCATCACTGTCTGGTCAGTGACCCCCAAGTTCCCTGACCTCAGGAGCTTACGTTCTATTTGAGGAGTCAGACAGACATATTTGGTGCAGTGTCATGCGTTAAAGGGCTAGGGAATTTTCTTTTACATAGGACGGGAAGTGACATTTTTGCAGAGACCTGAAGGAAGAGAGAGTGTGAGCCACTCGAGGGAGCACAGTTGCAATGGCCCTGCAGAGGAGCTTGGTTGATGGGCTCAAGAGGAAGAAGCCTCTGAGGATGGGGAGTGAGGAAGGGAGTGGGATGAGGTGTGGGTGGGGAGAGAGCCAAGGGCCGGACGATGTAGGCATCGCCTTCTGCTTTTCCACCACCAAGTCACTGTCCCGTTGCTGCTTCCTGCACCAGCTACAGCTGTAGTCCCTCAGAGGGGCCCCTTCCCTTTGTGCCCCACACTTCTGCTGCTCAGCTCTGACAAAGCTTGGTCAGGGGCTTCACTACTGCTGTTCATTGCTGTGGCCTGGGAAAGTGAAGAGTCTGAAAGGTGGATAATGTTCATTTATTTCTATGTTTTAAAGTGCTGAATCTGAAGCAGTCTGACCAGGCTTCTGTGCTTAATTTTGGTGCTGCACGGGGTGGCCACTAGTTCATGGAGAACCTTTGTGCAAACTGGAAAAAAGGTGCCCCTCAGGTAGACGCAGCCCTTTGGGTGCACAGCTTGGGGAGCAGATGGTGCCTGGTGAGGACTAGAAAACAGCCTTCCCTTCTCCAGCAGACACAGCCGCACACCAGAAGGCACCATGGAATTCAGTCTCCTTTTACCCCTTCAAGGAGTGTTCTGTGCAACAGCCGTCCCACACCGCCATGGCTGGGCCCTCACCCCCCAGAGCTGTGCCTGACCTACCTTGGGAGTGGGTGGTCTGGAGCTATGAAGAGCTATCCATCCTCAGTGGCCTGGGATATCAGGGTCAGGGGACAACTTGAGAACTGATAGCACTTTAACCCCTTCCTCCTCATCTCCCCTTTTTTTTATTTCCAATCCCCCCAAAATACACAGTACTATAACTTATAAGTTCTCCCAGGTGATTTCAAGGTACACCTCTCCTCCCCCACCCACAAAGTACAACTAAAGAGCAGAAGTATTCATCCTTACTTCCACATTAAAATCACTTCAGGAGTAAAAAAAAAAGAATATCGACCCTCAGCCTCCCCCCTCCTCCAAGACCAATGAAATCAGAATTTCTGGGATGAAACCCAGAAAATGGTAGTTTTTTATGCTTCCCAGCTGCTTCTGATGTGCAGCCAAAGTTGGGAAAGGCGTTCCAGGGTTGGCCTCCCTCAGTCCCCATTCAGTGAAAACTACTGTCATTGAGTCCCTTGTTACTACGGCTGTGGCACATTTCTCTCAAGAGAAAACAAGTGCCCTGGCCAGCGACAGGGAGCAGGGCCCGCCCTCACAGCCTCACCGTGTGGGTGTCCCCCGGTGGGTAGACGCTCAGTGGAGACATCCTCTTCTGAAGAGGTACCAAGGGTGGTCTCTCTCTAATATATGGTTCTTTGTGGATTTTTCTTTGCAGTATCAGGGACAGAAAAATGGCCAACAAGATCAGGCCCAGCATCGCCATTAACACTATGAACCACAGCTCTCTGTAGAACTCCGTGCTGTTGCTCCCCGACCCTCTCTTTCCTCCAGGAGTTGTTAGCACGAGGCCTGCAAAACCCAGGAAGAGAAGATGGAAACATTTCAGAAGGCAGTTGTGTGATCTCCGGCCCCACCTATGTGATGGTAAATTAGGAAGGAGTTGAAATCAGTCTGTCTCATGGTGCCTGTTTGTACTTGTATGCAGGCTGGGGTGACACTTCAGCGTGTGGGAGGGTTCTAAGGAGAAGCTCGTAGCCCCCGATAGACCTCGCTGACACTCCCAGCATTGCTGCTCAGGTTAGAAGCCACTGCTGCCTTGGCAAGTCCCTGGGGAAGACGGGAAGGGGGAGTAATTTTTAAAAGGGGTTACCAAAGTGACCTTGGGGGATCGCCTGTTTCATATCTGTGTGCCCTGGGAGCAACGTCCTTTCTTGAGCAATGGGCTCTCGTGAAGGACTGGGCCCTTACTGTTACTGCTGCAGAGTCACGATCATCGTCACTGCTGTAGAGATCCAGGTCCTCTCACTTCATGCAACAGCCCCATTCCTGAGAAGTTTTGTGCAAACTGGGTTTTGAGACATCAAATGGCAATGCCGGTGTTGACAGCCTGTGTCTACTAACATGTTATCTTTACATTCCTGGTTCCCTGGCCTCTCTGTCAAATAGCAAAAGCTCTGCAAACCATCACTCATGTGCACTAGGAGAGCTTCCTATGGAAATAAATCCTTTAGTGATGGAACCACTTACCCTTGATTTCTGTTCTTGTGTTCAAAGTCGACATGATTCTCTGCACATGAGGCTAATACAAGCAGCTTACATTTAACGAGCATTTATGGCTCCCAGTCCCTGTGCTATGGGCTCTGCAGGGACGGAGGAGGGGCAGTAGCAGGATGATGGAATCTTGTCGATGTGGGCAAAGCTGGAGTGGGCAGGGCAGGAAGGAAGGCTTACAGGAGACACGGGCAGTGGAGTCACGATGTCAGTGTGGCAACCTGGGCAGGAGCAGGGCTCAGAGATTAGCTTCTGCACGTGGGGTCAGATCAGCTGCCACGCAAGCTGGCATGGAGCTGGCAGCCAGAGAGCTGCCCATCTAAAGCAAATGCCCGCAGCCAGAGGCAGAAGGACGGGCACAGTTGCAAATGCCTGCTCACTCATGGGACTGGCTTCCCCTTTTCTGCAGCTCAAGGACTCTGTGGGCCTGCCTGGTACCTCAGCCTCACATTCTCAGGGGAAGCGGTAAAGGGGGAGAGGTCAGAATTGGGATAAAAATGTTTAAGGAAGGGAGAGAAGGTGACTGAGAGGAAGGCTAGCACTTTGCCAACCCTAACTCTATTTCTGGTCAGTTCTGTGGTTAAAAAAGCTACTTTGCCTCTCTGAGCCTCTGCTTTCCCATGTCTAAAATGAAGGATTGGACGAAAGTTCTGATCAAGCTCCAGCAGGTTGGAATTCGCTTAATTAGGCACCAGTGTGTGTTGCTTGATTAAAAACAAACAGACCTTTGTTATACACTAGAAGAGCTGAGTTTCCTGTGTGTGTGGCACAGGGCTGCAACTTCAGAAAGTGATCTGATGGGCCCAGTGGGCCCCTTGCTCAGGAGCACGCAGGGGAATGGAGGGCAGCCTGCCCGAGGGAAGCCTCAAAGGGGAAATAGCCCTCGGAACAGTCAGAGGAAAATGAGGTCTCTGCCACGTTCCTGCTTGGAGGCTGCCTTCAGGCAAGGGAACTGGAACGTTTTAAAGTTATATCATAATAATTAAAACTGATTACAGATATTAGTTAGGATGCACATCTTGGAGTCTACCATAACGTCGCACAGTCCTCAGAGTTCCATCCCTCTGCTCTGCCCAGAGCCCAGCCTCCAGACACACGAGCCACCTTTCACAGCTCAGCCCCCAGCAATGGGAACCTCAGTTGGTGTTCATGAGCCCACTGGGGACTTCTCCTCTTTGATGAAGAGCTTGAAATCTGGGTGTTGTCTCTTTATCCCTTCCCTCTTTTCAAAATATCTTTCACTTTAAGGGTCTCTACCTGTGCATCACATGGGATATTCACGGTCAGGGGGTCAGGGGCTTGAACTCCAGTGGCTGGGTCTCAACGCCAAAGACAAACGCAACCCACAACTGGTGTCAGTGAGTCGCTCTCTGTTAATTGCCTGCCTCCAGGGACAACACACTTCCCACTGACCAAAGAGACTCTACCGGCAGATTTAGAAGGTAGAACAACCTTGGTTTGGTGGTATTGCTTAGTGTGTGGTCCTGCGTCCCTGTGTCAGAATGGCTGGGTGGGACTTATTAAAAGAGCAGATTCCTGGGCGCCCCTGATTCTGAATCTCTTCTGGGGGCCTGGGAAATTAAAGCAAACAGGCACACTGAGGTGATTCTTATGCACACTTAAATTGCTAAAGAAAAAGTCCTGGGCCTGGATTCCATAGAAAAGCCATGGCTTGAGTGTCCACCTGAGCAAAAAGCTTGCAGAGCATTCCTGGATAAATCCCTGTGCCTCTCAGACCTCTCTTGGTCCACTTGTAGAAACACTGGAGTTGTTAAAAAAACATGCAAACCGAGGTCTTTTCTACCCCACAGCCACTATTAAATAAAATGATACAAACTATACGGGAGAGTCTGTTAGAAGTTGTAAGAAATTTTATATGTTCTGGCTAGGGTTCAACCCCTTCAAAATTGTTGTACAGATTGGGTCACAGACTCCACACTTGCCAGGCTGGCTCACAGCCCCCTCACGTGCCAGGCTGCCTCACAGACTCCTCACATGCAGGTCACAAGTTAGGTAATTGGGAAAGGTTCCGGGAGCTGTTGGTGAGTTAACAGGTTCATTCCAAAGCGAACTCAGTCCTCAGCTTCCTCAGCAGCAGCAGCAGCAGCTTACAGCAGCCTCCAGCAGCAGCGGCGGTGGCCTCCAAGAGCATCCTGGTGGTCTTGGCAGCAACAGCCTCCAGCAATAGTAGTGGTCTCCCCATCGCCCCCCAGGGGGTGGCTGGGGGTGGGAGAGCCCCCATGGATCAGAGCTGCTAATCCTTTATACTTAAGTCTGATAACCCAGGACACCTGGCTGCCCATACGCAATTACAGTAACCAAAGAACATCTGGGTGCACGTGCATGTTGACATCAAATGCTCAGCAAGATTCTGAACATCTGAGGGACCCTGACCATTTTCCTATATTTTCCCTACAATATGGCATCCAGACATGTAAGGTCTGAAAACACTAAATAATATTGTTTTAACAGATTAAAACTATCCTCGATAATAATATATATGGTCACCTCAGTTTTATAATTTTGGGATATGCTTAATTTTTTAAAATATGCAACAAATTTGATATAGCATTAATTACTGGAACTTAAAATAGGGAATCAGTCCTAAATCTGATACCCTATCTGTTCTAATGGAAAATATTTGGCATTTCTCCAACTTACCCTTTGATATTGTAAAGCATTGTGTGTGTGAGACTCAAAGATTGTGGGTAGAATTCAATGTTCTTTAAAATAATACAGTTTCATCTCTTCAGCTAAATTACTTAGTACTAACAGTTAAATCATAATCTTTTATGGAGGATGCAAGACAGAAATTTTGCAAATTCACTATTTTAGGCTTTGAATCCATAATATTATCATTATGATCAACACAAATTGGCACAGTATTTTCTCCCTTTCTGCTGTGGGTAGACTTGTGTCCCCCAAATTTTCATGTATTAGAAACTTAGTCCCCACTGTGACAGTGTTAAGAGGGTGGGAAATCCTATGATGGTAATTAAACGGTGAGGCCTTGAAGAGGTGATGAGATTGTGAGGACTGTATCCTTGTCAAATGGATTGATCCACTCCTGGAATAACGGGAGTTTTTCTGATGGCTTTAAAAGGAAAGCAAGTGAAGAGATTAGCTCTTGCTTCTCCTTACTTGCTTCTGCCATTTCGCCATCTGATGTTTTTCTGTGTCACTGTAGAGTTACGATCACCAGATATGTTACTTGGACTTTGGACTTCTGAAACTGTAAGCAATAGATATTGTTTCTTTGCAAATTACCTAGTTTCAGGTATTTCTGCTATAAGCAACAAGAATGAACTAATACACTTCCTCTCATCTCTCTTTCCCCTGATTTCCTCTATAAATCACTCTTTTGTATACAAAGTCATACAACTCTTTAAATGACAGGATTTGTGGTTAGGAGAGTTTAGTCAGATTTGTCTGGTTTTCTGCGCATTTTAAGAGCATGTCCTAACTACTTGCTTAATGTTTAAAAAATTTCTTACAGCGCAACACAATTCCTTCCATACAGTCTATGCTAACATATTAGCACAAGTGTATATGAACAAACATAGGCATGTTTTTTGAGAAAATGAGTAGGCGCTGCACTAAACATAGTGAGTTAAATGTTTACCGAATCCAGCAGAGGTATCATATTGGATCAATGGCGTCTTAACACTTCCTTCATCTGTAGTGCAAGTGACCTGGAAAAAGAAGGCTAGACAAAAGGAAGAAGTGGTAAACGACTGTCATTCAACACTTACAAATAGGGACATACACTTAAAAAGAACAATCTGTCATAGCATGAAAAAGTCTAAAAATAGAATTCCAGAGCAAGTTGTGAGGTTTTACCTAATGTGCAAACCTATTTCTAATTAAAACATTATAAAGAAAAAATTATAATTAGTGTAGTAATAGGATATCCATAAGCAACAGAGCTAAAGAAGATTATACAGCTAACAAAAATTATCAGAGGAGCAAAGGATAATATGCAAAGCATATCTTGTTCTGCATATGGTCTTTAAAACTGGCAGGTAGGTGTACCTTCCACTAAGCGACCCAGAGTTATGTACTGAATAGGAGAGCTCAAAAGAAATCTTGGAAATCACATGGTCTAAATTCTTCTTTCAGTAGCCAGGAACCTGGGGGAAGTGACTCTACCTGGCCAGGCAGAACCCACATCTCCCATTTGTCAGGCCATTTTCCCATCACCACAAGCTGCCTAGGTAACCAACTATAACTATGAAAATGTGCAGGTGAGTCACCATAAAAATGTTACTGTGAAGTTTCAAATACTATAAATGCAAAGCTGGAGCTCATTGTTTACCTCCACCTTTTAGGCAAAATATATAGTATTTTCAAGTAAGCCGAAATACCCAATAATTAATTCATTGTATAAATTCAGATTGCTTAAAATGGCTGAGTATCTATTGTTCCTATGACCATGCCGACCACTATAAGATACTTAGCACCCTGCAAAGCTTTTTCTCATTTCAATTTAAAAACAAGACAAAGAGAACAAGGACTATAATTAGCCAGGGGGAAGGAATTCAGTCTTAGAGGGAAAGGGTTGTTCCTTCAGGGACTGATACTATGGGAGGCTAAGGACCCTTACTCAGGGTGCTGAAGAGCTGGAGACGGTCATTGCCTGAAAGAGCTCTGTTCAGAGGTTGTAGACACATCTAGAAAATCTCTGAAGTCCCTAAAAGAGTATTACTTTAGGATATTCATCGACTGCGTGCAGGTGCTATTTCCCTTGTGACCACAACCTGCCTTCTGGTCTTGTTCCTCCATGGGACACTCGGGTCACCATGTGGCAGCACTCTTCATGGAACTGCACCATGACTGCAGTGCACAGGCAGCAAATGGGAGGGAAAACCTGATTTGCCCTGAGCAGTAACTTTTCCACGAGAAGTGGACACTTCAACCAAGACATTTTAATGGTGAGCATCTGCTGGTCACCTTTCAGATTTAACATCTCCTAAAGCTGGGGAACGGATCTCCTCAAACATTGAGAAATGCGACTCAGAAACTAACTTTTGTCTGCCGTCCGTGGAATGTAGAGGGTGGTGTCGAGGCCGCTGTACACACGCTGCCCTCCATCGGTCACCACGTACTCCTTCAGCGGGCCGTTCAGAAGGAAAGTGCCACTCCAGTTCACGCACACCACAGACAGGTTGCTGTCCACCGAAAACGGAGCTTGGTACAGAGGCACTGCTGGGAAAAGTTTTACGTTCAAAAAATGATAATCTCTTTGCAAAGGTGCATCTGTGTGTGTGTGTTTCAGTAAGAGCACAACCAAACCAAACCGACAACAACAATGGCAATAACAACAACAAAACCCTGGCACTGCTGGAATCCTGCACTGTTTACAAAACAACCAGTATTGGGAGTGAAAAGAAAACCAGTGAGAACATATATGAAATGCTTTCTCAGCAACTCTGCACCTGCTTCCACAAATAAAATCAATGGAGAGTGGTGTTTTATAAATAAAACTATTAACATACAATGGATCTGCTCACCAACATAACCCTGGAGCTCATACTTTATTGCATTTTCCCTCTTTTAACAGGTAAAATATCCTTAACACTATTAACTACAGTAGATAGCTATTTTTCATATCAAATCAATATTTATTGCTACAAAGCCCCAAGGACTAGATGAAGTTAATATATTTTTTTTCTCCAAACCAAACTGCTTAGATAGTGAATTATATCCTTTTGGCACCCATTTATTTTTAAAGCTTTTTCTTGAACCGTTAGTTTGTTTTCTAAGATAGTTAAAAAGCCTTGCAAACAGCAATTCAAGTATAATAATTCATTGCCCTGACTAATCAATCAATAGCACAGTACATTAGTATATAATCAAGCTCAGGGCTCCTAAGTATTATATCAGATATAGAAGCAACTTTGTGTGCATTTTACAGGCATGTTCTCTTTTTATTTTTCAACTCCTTACTAAAATAAAACAAAACAAAAATCCTTAACTGAGGCTCATCTTTTAAATGAATAATTATTGTAAAAACAGTGAAGGGACACCATATCATCTTGTCAAGTCAAGAGAGATTTATTTTATGAGATCTCGTTTTCTCCAAAAGAATCAATACATTTGTAAAAGCATTAAGATCCATCTGTGTACTGAATGGCTTTTAAGAAAAGAAAGGAGTGAGGGGTGGGAATAAACTGGATATATTTTCTTCTTTTAAAAAAAGAAATCCATCTGTTGCTGATGTTAGGGAATAAAATAAGGAATAATTATGCACTTGTAGTCATCAGATTCAACCATAAAGACAGATTTGATTCTTATTTTCAAATAAATTCATAAGAGAAACTTTCTGCAAATATCAAAACAAAAGTTATCAAGCCCTCTTTAAATTTCTATGCTCTTTCAACACTAATCTTGCCTAATATCACAATGAGACACTGTTGTATTTGTCTATGGCTTTTTTCTATCACCTTAATTCAATAAATTTCTACTTCCCTATATCATAACAGTATCAATAAAGAGAAGGCTTGTAAATAGTAAGAAGATAGAAAGATATGAGCTTTGCTTGCATTGGATTTGGAGACCTTCCTGAGAAAAAAGAGTAAACAATCAAAATAATCAGGAATAATGGGTTTCTGTAACGTCCTCAAAAGAGACTGAGGAAATGGTAAGAGCTACTATGCCCTAGCACTTGACATACTTTATCTGATTTGATTCTCGAAACAATCCTGTAAAAATTAGTCCCTAATTTTTCAGATGAGAAAACCAAGGTTCAGAGAGGTCACATGTCTTGCCTAATGTCAATAGCTGGTAGGAGACCAAGGATCAGAACCCAGGCCTGCATCGCTCCAAAACCCAAGTTGCTTTTTTACGATCAATACACACTTACTTAAAGGAGCACAGTTTACTAATTCACTGAAGCTGGCTCATTCTGATTGTTCAATATTCAGGAATTTTGTGAGTTGGTTGTTAAACCTAGCCATTACTAAAATTAAATTATATAAACTTAGTTAAATTAAAACAAAAATAATGATTACTTAAAATTCGTAGTTTTTCTTATCTCACTACATTTTACTATTGTCTGTGTGCTCAAGGTTGTTTACCTCCGTTGGACTCAGGTGGTGGAAATATTCTAGCGTAATGATATGCCACTTCCCATCTCTCCCCACCTCTGTGTGTAGTGCTGTCATGTTGCTAACTTGAAATCAGCAGTGGTGGGGGCATTTACACCATGGAAATTGGCAAGCATGTCAAATCAGGTCATTTTCCTCTTCAAAAGGCCAGCTGTTAAACAGTAACACCTCATCTCTGCTCTTCCACTGAACATGTTGCTATACCTCTCCAGACCCTTTGGTGAGTGTATGTGTGATCACACCTATATAAAACTGCAAATACTATTTGTTGGGAAAATAGAATAGTTTGGTCAGGGCCCTCGCCTCAGGTCCAGTTGGGTGTGGTTTTAGCACAACCTTCGTGAGCAAATTGTGTGTGTGTGTGTGTGTGTGGAGTTAGTGCACATGTGCGCCAATGTATCTTCTTAGTTTTGTTACTATTCTTGTGTTTTTCAGAGAGAGAGAGAATTTTAGTGAAGCAGACGGGCAGGTGTCTACCTTGGGTGTCTGCCCAGTGCAGCCATGCCTTCCAATTTACGGCTTCCAAGGACCTTTTGGCCAGTTATGTAGCTCATAGACCTGTGTGAAGGGGTCTGATGACCCAGCCTGGTGTGTGTGGGGTCTGGTGACCCAGCCTCGCATACAATGTGTTTGTGACCCAGTCTGTGAATGGGCTTGAGGGGTCTGGGAGCTCCAGACCCAGCCCTAGCTCAACAACTGGCCCAGTTGGTGCAGGATTACTGGCAGGTAAAAGAACCCGACAACTGGCATGGTCAAGTAGCTTTACAATTGGCATCATGAACAGGACTAAGAGCTAGACAGTTGGTGCTGTGAGCAGGATTCCGACATTAGCCGTAGCCCAACAATTGGTGCTGTTGACAGGATTAGCCTAGAGCAACACTATTTTTAAATTATCTTCTGGTTTGCATTCTCTGATCCATATTTTTTCTCTTTTAGTGGTCATAATGAGTTAAAATTAGCATAAGCGGGATAATTTAAAAACCCATATTATAGTCAGTCATTTCTTGTACTTTTTCATGTCTGTGGATCCAGTAAGTGGATTAAGGGAACATTTTCTCCCTTGGTGCTAGTCCAGCTTTCAGCCATTTATCCAATGTGAAAGAACAGAAAGGAAGGAAATCTTAAATCTGTTCATTTAGTTCTTCCAGCATAAAAATATATATATATCTGGCAAAAGCTAAGCTTCATGACTAAAAACAGAATTGGTTACAACCTGCAAACATCACATAGCTGTTCTCTGGCCTCCTAGCCAATGCCCACAAAAAAAAAAAAACTGTAGGAATTAGCAAAATTGGTTTATGGATATATTGTGAAGGAGATTACTGGATTAAACTGTAGACATTATGAAGAATCATCATGTTTTGCTTTGATTATAAAATGGGCACAAGGTGCAGATTGAATGACACCAGCAACAAACATGAGAAGTTTAGGTGTGCTCACTAGTTCATGAAACAACATTTTCTGGGATTCTAAGACACTGTTCCCCATGCTGGAGATAACAACTGAGAAAGCGAAATGAAAGGAGGAGCAGTTTTATGGGGAAAGATTCAAGCTCTCTTTGGGGCCAGCTGAACGTCTCATAAGCTGGCTATGAGAAGTCCAGAGGGGGACGTCTGGGAGGCAGCTGGGTGTGGGGGTTCCCATTTCAAATCAGAAGACTTGGGCAGGAGGTGATAAGCTCACTTGAGGAGGAAATAAGAGAGGAGGGAAAGAGAGGAAAAGAAGGAAGGGGAGAAGGGGATAGAGCAGGCAGAGAAAGTTTAGGATTGAGACGTGAAGAACTTGGTTAGTGGAAAATCAACCAACAAAGTAAAAATGAATATCCAAAGAGGTCAGAGGGAAACCGGGAGATGCCTGTCATGAAAGCTAGGGGAAACTCCTTTTTGAAGAAAAGGATTGAAAGTTCAATTGCATTGAATGGTATGGAAAATTCAGTGAAGGTGTCTACCAGAGAAAAGCGCCTACTGAATTAATGAGTATGGAGGTCAAGGGCAAATTTAAGAAGAGACTTTCATTCAGTGGTGAGGCAGTGAAAGAGTAAGTGGGAAGACTGAAAATGGGCCAAGTATGTACAGACTATTCTTTAGAAAATTTCTGTCGTGAAGGAGAGGAGAGTGGGCAGTCGCTGCAGGGGAGTGGAGCGTTCGGGCACTTTAATGTTAGGATGGAAGCCACGTTGCATCTAAGTGGGATACACTGAAGATTAAGGTGAGATAAGGGATGATTAGTAGTGAAGGGGATGGTATTCTTCAGTGGTCACCCCTTCCTTGCTGCTGGCAGGAATGGTGCAGTTGCTGGCAGGAATGGTTTGTCTGTCCGATGGGTAGGGGAGTAGATGACCGACTGGTGCTTCTCGTCTGGTGAATTACAAGCCAGGAGCTCTGCAGAGAATAAAGTGAGCCTGGCTGGGGGCTTGTTGGGGAGAAAGGGTGAGAAGCAGTGGGAGTTTGAGGCGGGGGAGCAAGTTGGAAATATTGAGTACAGGGAGTAAATAGTTAATTGGCCCAGTAGGGAGTTAACTGGAAACATAGTAGAACTGAGCCCAGCTCAGGTCACTGTGAGTTTAGAGTTGCTAGATGTGGAAACTGACCACGTTAATTATGCTCCAGGCTTGGTTAGGGGGCCACTGCATTATCTAACTCCAGGAGCTTCAATTCAGTCTATGTGAATGGCCTCCTGGAGTCACAGTGCCCAACTCACAGTCCTGCCTCAGTTTCCTCATCTGTAAATTCAGATAATAATAGTACTAACTTCATTGTAAAGATTATTTGTAAAATGCTTAAATGGTGCTAGGAACAAGCAAGTCCTCTCTTTTATTTTATTATTTTTATTTATTTATTTATTTTTTTGTCTTTTTCCGTGTCCGGCAACGGATCGCAACCCTCAGTGTTGCCCCCGTACCGGACCGGGACCGGCAACGGGATCGCAACCCTTGGTGTTGCTCCCGCGCCTCGCTCAGCCAGTGAGCGGGAACCGGTCTGTATGTGGGATCCGAACCCTCGGCGGGAGCACCGCCATGCTTCCCAAGCAGCGCACTATAGCAGTGCGCCACCGGGCCGGCCCAGCAAGTCCTCTCTGAATGTGACCTATTACTAA